GTTACTTACATTCTACGCTTGTTCCACCTTAGTAAATTCTCCCTGACACTATAGCCTTCCATGCCTTATCCTATCAACTAGCTTATACATGTTCGGGTACGTTCTATCGCCTATTATCTGGCCGAACCACATCGTGTCCCATCGTATCTTGCTCGGTTGATTAGGGTGGTAACAGCACTCCGTTTGTGAGCAACAGGGTGGTTGCTCTCGTAGTGTAGGATGACATCCGCGTGCGTTTTCTTGCGGTAAACGGTTGTTTGGAATGTCCCGTCAGCCATGCTTCATATTTATGTGCGCTTTGGAGTCAGCTCGCGAGGTCGAAATCAGGAATCGTTTGCTCAGCAAAATTGAGTAGGACCCCAACGTAACCCTACGGATACCGACAGCCCTGTGCCAGCGGCTAAATAATCCTAAGCATGATTCTGCCATCGTTGTGCAATCCAGTCCTTCGCGAGCCACCTCCAGCGTTCATGCTGTCACCCACACGAAGTCGATGTCTCCACATAAGCCCCAAGGCTACAGAGTCAAACAACCACGAACAGCATACAACTTGTGTGGTGACTGTCATTTCGTTCAATTCTGTCCATTCAGTAAGCATGCTTGTCAGAAATGCCCTAAACAGCCATTTTTCACATTTTGAAGCTGAGGCTTCTTTAAAATGTTGGTTTCTAAACAAACAATTAGTATTTTTATATTTCCACTATGTCATAAATTCGTTTATGGAAGTTCATTATTATTTCAAATTTTCGTACATACTTCGGTGCCGGTTCAAAAAGTTCGGCATTTTGCAGCAGTTAGGGCCCAAACTGCAAATTGACCTTCACCGCCGAAACATCGGCCATTTTACCCAAATGTTGTTACTTCGTGTTCTACAAGGGAGACCATTTTAGAAATTTCCAGAGTACTTGCTGATTTTTGTAGCCTAATTTGCAAAAAGTCGGATGGCTGTCTCTACTTAAAGAACCGACAAACATGGTTGAACCGGTAACTAAAGTTATTCCCGAGGAGTCAAGGCCGGGGACAAAGCATGGGAGCAGTAAACAATTTCAGTGCATCACGTGCACATTGAACCAATCAGTGCGCTGCCTTGTCTGCTTCATACTAATTGGCTACTGCTGGCGAAAAACTATTTGCTTTCGCGCAGTGCGGTTATTGTAGATTCAGTTCCGCAACACTAACTTCCACATCACGTGGGGAGTTGCTGTGTGCGCGTTCTTGCAAAGCACACTAATCTACTTCACGATGGCCACTGTTGCTGCAAACTCGACGCTCACAACAACAACTGCTTTTCCTGCAGAGGAATTGGAAGTTCCCCAGCTCTATCTCGCCGCATGGAAATTCGACGAAGTTTCAGTCTACATCTCCATCACTCTGTTCATCTTAGCCGTTGTGCTCTTGAAAATTGCTTATCATAAGCTGCCATGGGTTGCCAGCTACTTGCCCGAATCCCTTCTACTAATTGTAATGGGTCTTATATTCGGTTCCATCATTCACTTCATCCCGAATGCTTCAGCCCTTCGTCTCACACCCAATCTCTTCTTCAACATCCTTCTCCCACCGATCGTACTTGAATCGGCATACAGCCTCTATAACAAAACATTTGCCGAGTTGCTCGGCCCAATCCTTCTGTTCGCTGTTGTTGGTACCGTCCTAAACTTTCTACTGATCGGATTTGGTCTGTTGGCAGTTGATCTGGCTGTCGGACTTGGCGAACCATACCTAGGTCTTAGTATTAAGGAGTATTTGCTCTTCGCTTCACTAATTGTGGCCGTCGATCCAGTCGCAGTTCTAGCCAT